ATTGGAACAACACTATACGATATGATATTAATGAGCCTCTCTTTTCTTTTTGGCCGTTTCTTTCTTCATTTTTTTCTGAAAAAAATAAAAATAGGATGGCGTTCTGGAGGTTTCTGGATCTCCAACTGAAAAGGCTATCCTTCAATGGGCTGTCAAGGTACTTTCTCGCTGTTCAAGCATCTGCATTTCAACTTTCACTAGTCCAAGTATTGATCATATTCGTTACTCAAACTTCACAGTTGGGAATGAAATTTGAAGTCGTGAAAGCAGAATCCATTGTTCTCCATGCCTCTCCTTTTAATTCTACCAAAAAGCGAGGGGGGGTTGCATTAAGAGGCAGGGTAATTGATTTATATCAGTTACTGTTCTTTAAAATCCTTTTGATGTTGTTATGATATATGAATAATACGAACAAGTAAGTCTAGTTAAACTAGCGTTCAACTAACTATTTCAGAATTTTTTATATGAGGCAGACTGGATCTAATGTCCATGTACATTGGAAGGGAGCAGCCGAAATAATTCTTGCCTTATGTTCAAAGTTCATTGATACAGACGGCTCTGTCCAATCCATTGAAGAGCAAAAGGTTGGTGTTACATCAACTTCTGTAGAAATTAGAAATGGAAATATCTGATGGCACATGATCTGTGCCCACATAAATACTTATTGAATTGTAACCCACTTTTCATTGCAGGGTTTCCTCACAGATGCTATCGATAGTATGGCTGCAAGAAGCTTGAGGTGCGTTGCTATTGCTTACAGAACATGTGAAGCAGATGAGGTTCCTACTGATCAAGAAGAGCTGTCACAGTGGAACTTACCAGATGACAACCTGATTTTGCTGGGTATTGTTGGTATAAAGGTAGTGAACACAATAACCAATTGTTTTAATTCTCATTTCTCTTTTCTTTCGAACACATCTATAAGCTGAATGCTGTAGGGATTACTATAATAGCCTTTACCTCCATCACCTGTAGAAATGGTTGCTCATATGCATTATTTCTGACTAATCACATCTTCTAGTGATTTCCTGAAAATTAACCCTATCCGGTATGCAGGATCCTTGTCGTCCAGGTGTCAAAGAAGCTGTCGAACTGTGCAAGCATGCTGGTGTTAAGGTACTTTCATGGTGAAAGCTTTTTATATTTACAGATGTAACATACTATGAATGTTCATTTAAATTTGGCTTTGGTATAAAGATGATGAAGTTATTCCGAAAACAAAGCATGATATGCAAAGAACTTTTGGCTCTTGAAATACATTCATCATGTTGTCTTTTGGACTAAATATAATAGTTTCGAAAGTAAATAGGACTTGTTGCATGGTCTTCCCTGAGAGTTCATTTCTGAATTTTGTTATGTTTTGGACTGCAGCATAAGTTACTAACTTGATATTTGTAAAACCTGTTTTTCGGGAATAACTTACATTGTAGGCGCAGAAATGGTGTTTCTTTCACTTTTGCATTACCATTGGTCATGTGATTTTGCTTTCGAAAAGCATTGCTAACCTTTTGATGCTAAAACATGACCATATACATATTGCACTAAAATCATTATTGTAGAAAATAAAGAGAATCTGATGACTGGTTGCTCTGTGTATATCATCATCAGGTCCGGATGGTAACTGGCGACAATATTCAGACAGCCAAAGCAATTGCAATAGAGTGTGGTATCCTTTCTCCAGATTCCGACACAAGTGAACCCTATGTTATAGAAGGGAAGAAATTTCGTGAATTGTCTGACAAAGAGAGAGAACAAGTTGCACAAAAGATTTCAGTATGTCTTAACAAGTTTCTTTCTGACTTCAATACCTAGCTACATATAAAATAATAACTATATATACATGTACAAAAGTTTTATAATTATATATCTTATTTATCTTGAATTTATATCAAAAAATAATTAAAGAGACATTAATTAATAAAATGTTAAAATTTTGATGTCTACAATACACTACCTGTTTATCTTGCAAAGGTCATGGGAAGGTCTTCTCCAACTGACAAGCTTCTACTTGTCCAAACACTGCGTAAACAAGGGGACGTTGTTGCTGTGACTGGAGATGGAACTAATGACGCTCCTGCATTGCATGAGGTCCTCTCATTTACATTTCTATGACACGTCACCTTGACCCTACAAACGATAGACTTCATCAACATTTGATCGATATTTACACTTATTTTTTTCACTAGGTTAATATGTTGAACTATTATTTTGATAATGCTATACATTATAGGCTTTTTGTGTAAATGGTATCTTTTGGGGTGTGGTAACTGATCATCTGTCTTTTTTACTAGTGATTGAAATTTGTTGTAAGTCAGATGAAAGTTATTTGCCACGCACAATCTTACGTGTGTAGTTAGTTAGTCTTTCACATTCATGTAGCCAATTCGTCTTCTCTATTTGTAGGCTGATATAGGTCTTTCCATGGGCATACAAGGAACCGAAGTTGCAAAAGAAAGCTCAGACATCATTATCTTGGATGACAATTTTGCTTCAGTTGTGAAGGTTAGCATTGAGGGACATTTTGTTTCCCAAAATATGTCAAGATCCTGTTACATATGCTCCGAAATAGTTGAAGTATCTTTCTTAGTTCTTCCTGTGATTAGATATTTTCCTTTTTTTTTTAACTTGCAGGTTGTTCGCTGGGGACGTTCTGTATATGCTAATATACAGAAATTTATCCAGTTCCAGCTCACTGTTAACGTTGCAGCTCTTGTAATTAATGTAGTTGCTGCAATTTCTTCGGGTGATGTTCCTTTGAATACAGTGCAGGTGCTCTCTCTCTCTCTCTCTCTTCACTGTTGCGAATTTATGGTTTCATGTCGCTCTATGTAAATTGCTTGCCTTCGGGAAGACATTTCTTAATATCGAGTGTTGATGAGTGGCTATATGAAAATTTCTGCTATCATTTCTCCAGCCTTAGGGCTTTAATAGAGTAAATAAGTTGTGAAGCTAAAAGTATGGTATACCTAACTAGAATGTAAACTTGTATATGTTTGGATGATGAAAATCTTAACTTGCAGCGTACACTAATAATCTGTTTATTATTGAGTGCAGCTTCTCTGGGTTAATCTCATCATGGATACTCTGGGAGCTTTGGCATTGGCCACCGAACCACCAACTGATCATCTTATGGATAGAACTCCAGTTGGTCGCAGGTCAAATTTGCAACCATGTTTATTAACCAGATTATTTATTTCTAAATTGCAACCATGTTTACTAACCAGATTATCATCTTTAGCCATTTTAGCCCTCTGAAAGAGATTAGGCCGTGTTAACAACTAATGATACATACTTTTTATCACTTTACTGCATTATTGAGATATCCCATCTCATAAAAATCAATATCAAGCCTGATAATCACGTGATTGCATTCAGTAATGACTCATGATCATTCTTTCACTCACCAATTTTCAACATTTTCTTGGTTAATCATGCTGTGTTTAAAACGTTACAGACCTTGGGAACTTTAGTTACACTTACATGTGCATATGCATAGATCAAATAAAGCAATTCACACTTTACAGTTTGTGTCTGATGTTGAAATATATTCATTTAGTTTCCCATATAGCTGCTGTTAGAACTTGACAAAGTATATAAAACCGCTCGCTAAGCTAGAAGGTTTTGTCATATGTATATTGTGCTTATGGTTTTTTTTTTTATTATTATTTAATTATTCGTAAATCTTACAGGGAGCCGCTTGTTACAAATATCATGTGGAGGAACTTGATTATCCAGGTATTTATTTTTACTTTTTCATCTAATGAAAATTTGCGTTTCCTTTTGACCAATTTCTTTCGACTGTTTATTTATGCAACTCAATCATTCCTTTTTTAATAACTTCAGGCTATATATCAAGTTGCAGTCCTCCTTGTTCTCAACTTTTCCGGCATTAAAATTCTTAACCTGAATACTAGCCAGAGAGAACATGCCAACATGGTGAAGAATACTGTAGTATTCAACGCGTTTGTTCTCTGTCAAGTAAGTACAATTTAATTCGAACAAATGAGCCTAAACACTTGACTAATTTACATGAATAATTAAAACCTAATTCTTCCTTGTCGGCTTACAGATTTTCAACGAGTTCAATGCTCGTAAACCAGAGGAGCTGAATGTCTTCACAGGGGTGACTAAGAACCCGCTCTTCACTGGAATAGTGGGGACTACATTCATACTTCAGGTGATGACATGGCACAACCATATTTAACGTATTTTTATGGATTAAACAACGTAGTTACAATTTTACGGCTGTTAACACGTACGTTTCTCTTTCGCTAGATAATCATCGTCAATTTCCTTGGGAAGTTCACCTCCACTGTTAAGCTGGACTTGAAACTGTGGATAATTTGCCTTGTAATTGGGCTCATCAGGTTCGTCTTGCTCGTGCATCATCATGAATTTTACCAGAACTTGAGTTTTACTAGAATTTGTGCTGATTTTTTTTTCTTTTTTTCACAATATTTGTTATTACAGTTGGCCTCTTGCTGTTGCTGGTAAATTCATTCCAGTTCCAAAGACACCACTAGCAAAGGTCTTCATAAAGCCATACCAGCGACTGATTGCTTCTCGTAAAGCACGTGACTCTACCTAAAATTTTCGTATATTTTATCGTTCATGAATATGACGATTAATCATCCAATTTCCCCCCGGAAAATTAGAAGCAAGAAGCAGGCAGTAAAAATTACTGACTA